GTGCCGTGCTGGGGAAAGATGCCCGCAGTCCGGTAGAGCCAAGGGCTGGAGCTTGCTAAGGAACAGCACCGCTGCCCGAAGCCGAGATGGTCTCCTCGGTTTGCCTCCTCTCCCACTGTAGTGATCTCTATGCAGAAGTTAGTATGGTCCAGCCTCCTGAGGGAGGCGGTGTGGTGTAAAAAACTTGGACTCGGGCTGCAGACAGACTAAGGCGCAATCCTGCCCCTGTCAGTTACCAGCTGTGTGGCCTTGGGCAAGCCGCATAACTTCCCGGTGTCCCAGTTTCTTTGAAGTCACAGGAGAGCAATGCCCAAATAAAGAAGGCTAAAGTTCAGTGGCAGCATAGGGTTAACAACTTCAGCCCTGGAGCTTAACTCCCTACCTTCTGCCACTTACAAGCTGTTTTACCTTGGAAAAGCTATTTAACCTCTCTACAGCTTCCATATTATCTCAAGAGTCTCCAATGACTTCCCATCTCACTAAGGGTAAAAGCCGAAATCTTTATAATGGCCTACATGCCCCCCTGTCCTCTGACCCTCTGCCACTCATCTGACTTCATCCCCTACTAATCTCCCTCCTCCTCTGTCTATATGGCTACCACCAGGGCCTCTGCACACTGTTCTCTGTACAGTTCTCCAAGATATCCACGTGGTTCCCCCACTCACCTCCTCCAGTTCTCTGTTCAAATGTCACCTGATCTTGGCTGGGCCTGGTGGCTCATGCCTGTAATCCCAGTACTTTGGGAGGCTGAGGTGGGTGGAACCACGTTATAGAGGTAGGGGGCATGGGCCAGGCTTGAGATCATCCTGACCAACATGGTGAATGAAACCTCCTCTCTATTACAAAATAGAAAAATTAGCCAGGCATGGTGGTGGGCACCTGTAATCCCACGTACTTGGGAGGCTGAGGCAAGAGAACTGCTTGAACCTTGGAGGAGGAGGTTGCAGTGAGCTGAGATCATGCCACTGCACTCGAGCCTAGGTGACGGAGCGAGTCTCTGTCTCACAAAAAAACTTAAAAAATGAAAAAGTTACCTGATCAGAGAGGCTTTCCTTGGCCCTCCTGGTTAAAATAGCAACGCCACCACTTCCAGGACAGCAATCTATCTACTTCCCTTCCAATTCTCTATTCTCCTCTGCTGCTTTTGCTCTACGGTACACTATGTATTTTCCTTGTTTATTTACTTACTATTACTGCCAGGTGCAGTGGCTCACACCTGTAATCTCAGTACTTTGGGAGGCTGAGGTGGGCTAATCACTTGAGACCAGGAATTTAAGACCAGCCTGGCAAACACGGCAAAACCCTCTCTCTACTAAAAACACAATTAGCTGGGTGTGGTGGCAGACACCTGTAATCCCAGCTACTCAGGAGGCTGACGCAGGAGAATCACTTGAACCTGTGAGGCAGAGGTTGCAGTGAGCTGAGACTCCATCCAAAACAAACAAACAAACAAAAAATTAGCTGGGCCTGGTGGTGCGTGCCTGTAATCCCAGCTACTCGGGAGGCTGAGGCATGCGAATTGCTTGAACCTGGGAGGCGGAGGCTGTAGTGAGCCAAGATTGCACCACTGCACTCTAGTCTGGGTGTTAGAGCAAGACTTTGACTCTAAGTAAGTAAGTAAATAAATAAATAAATATTTACTGTCTATTTTCCCTACAGACTTTTATCTATTTTATTCACCTGTATTCCCAATACTTAAAACCGTCATTGATATGTATTAATAATAAATATTCCATAAATATTCTATGAATAGAGGCCAGGCGCAGTGGCTTATGCCTGTAATCCCAACACTTTGGGAGGCCAAAGGCAGGTGGATCACCATGTCAGGAGTTCGAGACCAGCCTGGCCAATATGGTGAAAACCCATCTCTACTAAAAATACAAAAATTACCCAGTTGTGCTGGTGGGCATCTGTAATCCCAGCTACGTGGGAGGCTGATGCAGGAGAATCGTTTAAACCTGGGAGGTGGAGGTTGCAGTGAGCCAAGACCACACCATTGCACTCCAGCCTGGGCGACAGAGTGGGACTTTGTCTAAAAAAAAATTATATGAATAAATGAATGAATGAATCATGTAAATTACTATCAAAAGTATTGACCCATATTAACTGTTAACACTTATCAGTTATTATGTACCTAAGGAATTTTAAGAAGGTTTAGTCTAACTGCTATAGATGAAATCATCTCATCTGACTTTCACAACAATCCATACAGGAGATACTAACCAGAGTGGAAAGGTTAGGTAACATGTTTAGAGTTACATAGTAAAAGGCAGAGTCAGAACTGGGACCCCCATCTTTCCAGTTTCAAGTTCACATGGTTTCTGCAATTATGCTAGTTCACCTATCTGCACAGCAGATCAGTAAATGTTGCATTTTTTTTTATTCTAAAGATAGGGTGGGAGAGTTTGGGATCACATCTGGAGAAATACTTTCTTTTGGCCAGGCTTGGTGGCTCACCTCTGTAATCCCAGCACTTTGGGAGGCCAAGGCAGGTGGATCATTTGAGGTCAGGAGTTCCAGACCAGCCTGGCCAACATGGTGAAACCCTGTCTCTACTAAAAATACAAAAATTAGCCAGGCAGTAGTGGTGCACGCCTGTAATTCCAGCTACTTGGGAAGTTGAAGCAGGAGAATCAGTTGAACCCAGGAGGCAGAGGTTGTGGTGCGCCAAGATCATGCCACTGCACTCCAGCCTGGGCGACAGAGTGAGACCCTGTCCCATAAAAGTCTTGAACTCCCTGGCCTCAAGGGATCTACCCGCCTTGGCCTCCCAAAGCACTGGGATTACAGGGATGAGCCACTGCATCCAGCCTGGAGAAATATTTTCTTATGATAAAACGGTTGATTTATAGCCTACAAGCTCCAAAGTGCTTTCATCCTTAGCTGGCAAACTAGTGGAGAGTAGAAAGGGGTGGTGGTTTCCATGCTTTCATGTAGAAATACTAAGATAAAATTCATAATTGTCTGGGCGTGGTGGCTCACACCTGTAATCCCAACACTTTGGGGGGGCCTAGGCGGGTGGATTGCTTGAAGCCAGGAGTTCGAAATCAGCCTGGCCAACAGCAAAACCCCATCACTACAAAAAATAGCCAGGCCATGGTGTTGCACGCCTGTAATTCCAGCTACTCAGGTGACTGAGGCACAAGAATCGTTTGAACTCGGGAGGTGGAGGTTGCAGTGAGCCAGGATTGTACCTCTCACTCCAGCTTGAGTGATGGAGTGAGTCTCTGTCTGAAAAAAAAAAAAAATCATGATTTCTGCCAGGCTTGGTGGCTCATACCTCTAATCCTAGCACTTTAGGAGGTTGAGGTAGGAGGATCTCTTGAGGCCAAGAGTTTGTGGCCAGCCTGGGCAACTAGGGAGATCCCTATCTGGGCATGGTGGTGGGTGCCTGTAACCCCAGCTATTCCTGAGGCTGAGGCAGGAGGATTGCTTGAGCCTAGGAGTTTGAGGCTCCAGGGAGTTCTGATCGTACCCCTGGACTCCAGCCTGGGTAACAGAGCAAGCCCTGTCTTTAAAAAAAAGAAAAAAAAAAAAAATCATGATTTCCCCAAGGTTACTCAGTAAGTGCCCTCCATCGCAGTCCTGGGCTTTAGCCCCTTAAACTCATGACAGTGAGTCTCTGAATTCTTAGTGGTATTTCCTTTGGGGTGGAGGTCATCCTGGTTGAAGGCAGTGGATGAGACAGGATGACCTTACATCCCTTGCCTTCTGTTCCACAGGATGGAGGCCAGTTTTCTACTGTATTGCATTTTGCTCAGAAGCACCTAACAGAGACCAAAAGCAAGATTACATTATTTTGGATTATTTTTGTTTATTGTAGGACCTACACAAAATATGCATACTCTCTTTTAATTATTTATTTTTTTTGAGACAGAGTTTCACTGTTTTTACCCAGACTGGAGTGCAATGGCATGATCTCAGCTCACCGCAACCTCCGCCTCCTGGGTTCAAGCAATTCTCCTGCCTCAGCCTCCCGAGTACCTGGGACTACAGGCGCGCACCACCATGCCCAGCTAATTTTTGTATTTTTAGTAGAGACGGGGTTTCACCTTGTTGACCAGGATGGTCTCGATCTCTTGACTTCGTGATCCACCCGCGGCCTCCCAAAGTGCTGGGATTACAGGCGTGAGCCACCGCGCCTGGCCAAAATATGCATACTCTTTAAGGTCTCTCTGGCCCCTCAGAGCTGTGAAGCACAGCTGGGAAAAGTCCTAAATGTGGGGACTGTGCCAGCGGAGAACTACAGGGGATAATGGGTGACCTGGTGGAGGGGAGAGAGGGCTGGGATCTGTGTCTGGGGAGCCAAAGGGGGAAGTCTTGGCTTTCAGGGCAAGTGGGGAGCATGCTCTGGGAGTGACTAGAAACCATGCTTACCAGAGGAGCATCATTTAAAACTCTTACTATGGAAGTCTTCCAATGTACACAAAGGAAGAGAGCATAGTTCTATGAACTTCCATATTCTTTTTTTTTTTTTGAGACAGAATCTCACTCTGTCACCCAGGCTGGAGTGCAATGGTGCAATCTCAGCTCACAGTAACCTCCGCCTCCCGGGTTCAAGCAATTCTTCTGCCTCAGCCTCCCGAGTAGCTGGGATTACAGATGCCCGAAACCATGCCCAGCGAATTTTTTTTTTTGTATTTTTAGTAGAGATGGGATATTGCAGTGTTGGCCAGGCTGGTCTAAAACTCCTAACCTCAGGCGCTCCACCCGCCTTGGCCTCCCAAAGTGCTGGGATTACAGGCGTGAGCCACTGTGCCCGGCCAGAACTTCCATATTCTTAATTGAACAATTACTGATTATTGTTACTCCTCCCTTTCTGTCCTTTTTCTCTGCTGAAATATTTAAAATTAAATAGGTCACTTCACATCACACTTCAGCATACAGCTCTAGGAAATAACGATTTTCTCTTCTATAACCCAAGAGCCATTTTTATTTTTTATTTATTTATTTTTATTAATTTTTTTCTTTTTATTTTATTTTTAAAATAAAGATGGGGTTTCACCATCTTGGCCAGGCTGGTCTTGAACTCCTGACCTCAGGTGATCTGCCTGCCTTGGCCTCCCAAAGTGCTGGGATTACAGGTGTGAGCCACCACACCTGGCCGAGCCATTTTTATATCTAACGAAATTAGCATTGCTTCCTTGTTATCATAGATACCCAGTCCATAATTACATGTCCCCAATTGTCTTTACAGTTGAGCTGTCCAAAGTAGGAACCAAGCAAGGTCCACTTGTTCCATGTAGTAGTTGTCTTCTTAAGTCCCTTCTCATTTTTTACCCCCAGCCATTCACTAGTTGAAGAAATGGGGTCAGATTTCCTTTAGAATGTCCGTATTCTGGAGGTGTTTACCTGCTTCCTTATTGTGTCATTTTATTTGTTCCTCCATTCCCTGTATTTCCTGTTAAATGGAAGTCTGAACTAGAGGTTTGATTAGGTTTCTGTTCAGTTTTGTTGTTTGTTTGGCAAGATTCCTTCATAGGTGGTGAGGAGTGCTTCAGCTTGCATCACATCAGGAGGTACACAGTGCCTGGCTGTGTCACTTTTAGTGAAGCTATGATGCGTCCGTGGGGTTACGTTGTGGCCGCTCAATATCCCATTGTAAAGTTCTTCATCACCCATCATCTTTGGTTTCATCCGTTAGATGAGTCTTGGTTTGATCAGTTACTTCATTAGGAGTTACAAAATGGTGATTTTTCTAATTCCATATTCCTTCCACATTAGCTGGAACTATTATGTAAATAAGAAGTTGTCTTTACCAATTAGAGCTATTTGGCTATCATGAAATATAGTTTATACATACAAGCAGCATAAGAGCTTAATTCTTTTTTGTTTTTTTGAGACAGCGTCTCAGCGTTGCCCTGATGGAGTGCAGTGGTGGGATCTCAGCTCACTGTAGCCTCTGACTCCCAGATCCAAGCGATTCACCTGCCTCAGCTTCCCAAGTAGCTGGAATTATAGGCACATACCACAACGCCCAGCTAATTTTTGTATTTTTAGTAGAGATGGGGTTTCATCATGTTGGCCAGGCTGCTCTCAAACTCCTAACCTCAAGTGATCCACCCACCTCAGCCTCCAAAAGTTCTGGGATTAAGGCATGAGCCACTGCACCTGGCTGTTTCTTTTTATTTTTTAAGATGGAGTTTCGCTCTTGTTGCCCAGGCTGGAGTGCAATAGCGTGATCTCGGCTCACTGCAACCTCTACCTCCCTGGTTCAAGTGATTCTCCTGCCTCAGTCTCCTGAGTAGCTGGGATTACAGGCATGTGCCACCATTCCTGGCTAATTTTGTATTTTTAGTAGAGATGAGGTTTCTCCATGTTGGTCAGGCTGGTCTTGAACTCCCGACCTCAGGTGATCCACCTGCCTCTGCCTCCCAGAGTGCTGGGATTACAAGCCTGAGTCACTGCACCTCGCCCCTTATTTGTATATTTTAATTGTCAACTTCCAGAATAAGAATTTGGGAGAAGCATCATTAAAAAAGAAAAAAGAAGGAAAGAAAGAAAAGAGGCTTGGGCTTAAAGCTGAGCAGAAATGAATGACCTGAATAGTGAGTGGGGAAAGGAAGGGCTGTTCTGGAAGACATGTCTACCCCTGGATCAGTCCAGGGCAAGGACTGTGTGTCCATGACAGACACTGGTGGAGAGCTCAGTGTTCTGGCCCTTGGCCAGCAATGACAAAGACATGAGACAGGCATGGTGTGCACTGTTGTGCAGGACCCAGGGAGATAGGAGATGGGTGACAGGGTAGCACAAGAGCAAACCAAATATGGGGAGGCAGAAAGAGAGATAGGAAGTGAAAAAGCAGCCAGACACAGAAGTCAGAAAGAGAGACAAAGAAAGAGAAATAGAAATGGAAGAGATCAAGAATGAAATGTGGCCAGGTGCAGTGGCTCACACCTGTGATAGTAGCACTTTGGGAGGCTGAAGTGGGAGGATCACTCGAGGTCAGGGGAGACTAGCCTGGGCAACATAGTGAGACCCTGTCTCTACAAAAAAATTTTTTTTTCTTTTTTTTGAGACAGAGTTTTGCTCTTGTTGCCCAGGTTGGAGTGCAATGGCGCTATCTTGGCTCGCTGCAGCCTCTGCCTCCCAGGTTTAAGCAATTCTCCTGCCTCAGCCTCCCGAACAGCTGGGATTACAGGCATAAGCCACCACGACTGGCTAATTTTGTATTTTTAGTAGAGATGGGGTTTCTCCATGTTGGTCAGGCTGGTCTCCAACTCCCGACCTCAGGTGATCTGCTGGCCTCGGCCTCCCAAAGTGCTGGAATTATAGACGTGAGCCACAGTGCCCGGCCCCAATAATTTTTTTTTTTAATTATCCAGGAGTGATGGTGCATGCCTGTAATCCCAGCTACTCGGGAGGCTGAAATGGATCACTTTAGCCCAGGACTTAGAAACTGCAGTGAGCTCTGACTGCACCCCTGGATTCCAGCGATAGAGTGAGCCTTGTCTCAAAAACATAAACAACAGCAACAAAAAAACGAAATAAAAAACGAAAAAGAATGAAACACACCTAGAAGCAGAATAGGACAGAAAAGCAGAGAGATATGAGGGCAAAGGAAAGACTAAGGAAGAAAATAGACATTAAGACAAGGATTGAGACACAGAAGGGGAAAGAAAAAGACATATGTTAATTTTTTTAACCTTTCCCATGGTGCTGAAGACATATGTTAAATTGATTTCAAATTAGATAGAGAAATAGAGGGAGGGATAGAGAGAGGGGAAGACAGATGTGGCATAGGTGAAGGCAAAATGTCCCAGTGACAGGAGGAAACAGAAATGGAGAGAGCGAAGTAGAAAGACAGAAGGAAAGATAAACAGAAAGACAAGAACAGAAGGAGTCCTAGAGAAGGAAGCTAAGAAAAAGAAGCTTGAAGCAGATTAGTGCAGGAGCCAGAAAACAGGAGAGATGAGGAGCAGTGCTGAGGGGCTCTCAGCCTAGCAGCTTGTCCCAGGCAGATACGGGAGTCTCCCACTTCCAGCTATTGCTTGGTGGCTTGTCCCATCTCCCAGCCCCAAACCCCAGGGACAGACTTACAACTAACTGTGTGGATGTGGCCCTTAGGAGCCTGGGTCAAGGGTTCCCAGCCTCCCTCATCCCCATGCCAGATGAGCCTGGATGTCACAGATGGGAGCACTGCTGCAAGACTGAGGTCATGAGGCTGAGTGAGCTCTCAGAGATTTGAAAGACCAGACATCCAGGCAGAGGGTTCCTGGCCAGAAACAAAGGACCGGCTGGGTGCAGTGGCTCACGTCTGTAATCCCAGCACTTTGGGAGGCCAAGGCGGGCAGATCACCTGAGGTCAGGAGTTTAAGACCAGTCTGGCCAACATGATGAAACCCCGTCTCTATAAAAATAATAAATAAATAAATATAAACAAAGGACCACAAAGGATGCCAAGGAGTTCCAAGTGGAAGGAGGAACCAGATGTCTTCCACTCAGCCTCCTCTTCTGGTCCAAAAGCCACTGACCCCCTCTGTCTGACTCAAGGTGAGAGGTCAATCTTCTGGACCAGGATTCTCCAACTCCTCTAGAGGAAGAGTCCATTTATTCATGTGAACTGCAGAGGAGACTCCAATGGAGGCTCAGTGGAGGGGAAGACATGACAAACTTGCTCACCTTCAGGGGTCGTGGGGGAGGCTCTGAGAAGGACACTTTCCGTCCCAGAGGTTGCAGAGGAAGAGGTTCTGGAACCAGCAGGAGCACACCCAGACGCTAACTTCAAAGCAGATTCCCCCTGCTGCCTCCCCAGGACTTCGGGAAGGAGGGTTCTGAGCAGCCGGCTGCCTCTACCTGCTTAAGGGAGGGGTCCAGCTGATCCCTCTCCCACTCCACGCAGCTCCTGCCTCCTTGCCAGAGCAGCAGTACAGAAGTAGTCCAGGAGACTGGCAGTCTTCTGGTGGGCAACAGTCCACCTAAACTATCAGACAGTGCCCCCGAGAAGTGCGTGATTGTCCCCTGAAGCAGCAGCTACAGCAGCCAATGGAGCCTGGAGGCCCCCAGGTAGCCCCTTGGCCACAGCTACAGCTGCCACCGCAGCCTAAACGGGAGCTCAAGCAGGCAGCTTGGCTCTTGGAGCAAGGGTAAACCGGGCAGGGTGAGGAGTGAGAGCAGGTCAAGGGTGGACCAGAGCATGAGACACAGGAGTTATGGGGACAAGTCAAGGGAGGACAGGCAGGGCAGCAGGGGCAAGAGCAGGTACAGGGTGGGCCCGGGAGGCTGGGACAAGCAGGGCAGGGAGCTACATTAGAGGGACAGGCAGTGCAGGAGCAGGGGCGTGGGGGATAGCCAGGGCAGGGGAAGGAACAGGCAGAGGGGGGACAGGACAGACAAGGAGAGGCAGCAGGTGGACCGTGCCTAGAGCGGGCAGGAGGCTCTTGGTGGGCAGCCTTCTTATTCCGAGGCCCCAAGCGTAGGCCCAGAGAGAAGTCCATCCAGCTGCAGTTGCGGCCAGGCTGGGGGCTGGGTGAGGGGAGGACAGGGATGGAGTAGGAGGGGCGGACAGTGGGGGGCAGGATTAAACCTAAGACATGCTGAGCCTTGCTGATCCTTCAGGGAGCTCAGCCCTCCACATCCAGCCCTCCTCTTCCAGCCCTCCCTTTCCAGGCCGCCAAAGCTCTCCTGCTACCCCCCTCCCCTGAAAATCCTCCAACAGCACCAGATCAGAATGCGTTCTTTAAATATGACGTGGACTCCCAGACCTCCAGTCCTTTGTTCACACTGGTCCTTCTGCTCCGAGTGCCCCTGCTCCCTTGTTCACCTGGCAAGGCCCTGTCATCTCTGAACTCTTCTCCTTTACTTAATCAAAAAGCATTTCTTTCTTTCTTTCTTTCTTTTTTTTGGAGACAGAGTCTCGCTCTGTCACCCAGGCTGGAGTGCAGTGGCGAAATCTCAGCTCACTGCAATCTTCGCTTCCCTCCTGGGTTCAAGAGATTCTCCTGCCTCAGCCTCCCGAGTAGCTGGGACTACAGGCACACACCAGCATACCTGGTTAATTTTTTGTATTTTACTAGAGACGGGGTTTCACCATGTTGCTCAGGCTGGTCTCGAACTCCTGAGATCAGGCAATCTGCCCGCCCCCACCTCCCAAAGTACTAGGATTACAGGCGCGAGCCACCTCGCCTGGCCTCAAAAAGCATTTCTTGAGCTCTAAGCCCCTGTTGTCTGTCGGAGTCTCTCCAACACTGACCTCCAGAACTGCTGCTTCAGGTCTCCCAAACAGCTCCTATAGGGGACTCAGGGAAGCAGCAGTGGGCGACAGCAGTGGCCACAGGAGGGCTCTGAGAGACAGAGTCCAGGATGTACTTGGGAGCTGGCAGAGGAGGCGGGATGCCTGGGTTATAGGAATTTCCAGAGAGAGCAAGTCCCCGGTGTGAGTGTGGAGGTGCCCAGCTGTCTCTGGGAGATTGACAAGCAGCCTGGCCAACTATTATTCGAGGCCTAGTATGCATCAGACACTGACCTTGGTAGTGAACAAGATGGCTAAGTTTCCTCTCTTACGGAGTTCCCATAAAAGCAAGGGGTGGGGTGAGGTGGGGACAAAAAACAAATGGGTAAACAAACACATAACTAAGCTTATTTAAGAGCATGAGAAAGGCTATTCTTATTATCCCAGGGTGATGTGATAAAAAGTGACTCAGAGAGGTGACTCCATCAGAAGTGGCAGTTAGACTAGCCCCTAGTCAGGTATGACCACCGTTAAGGGCTTTGGGGGAGATGCAGTCTGTCAAGCCCTGGCATAGGAGGCAGAGCTGACTGGGGAGAATGGAACCCAAATGGCTGGATTATGGAGAAAAAATAAAGCTGAGAGAGGAATCAGGAAGGCTGGAGGTGGTAATCTAAAATTCAGTGGTCAGGGAAGGTGTCACTGAGGCAAAGACATGAGGAAGTGAGAGAGCAAGCCATGGAAATATCTAATGAGAGAGGCCGGGTGCGGTGGCTCACACCTGTAATCCTAACACTTTGGGAGGCCGAGAGAGGTGGATCATGAGGTTAGGAGTTCAAGACCAGCCTGGCCAAGATGGTGAAACCCTGTCTCTTCTAAAAATACAAAAATTAGCCGGGCATGGTGGTGGGTGCCTGTAATCCCAGCTACTCAGGAGGCTGAGGCAGAAGAACCATCTGAACCTTGGCGGCAGAGGTTGCAGTGAGCCGAGATCCCACCATTATACTCCAGCCTGGGTGATAGAGCAAGATTCCGTCTCAAAAAAAGAAAGAAAAAAAATCTAATGGGAGAGCATTCCAGAGAGTGGGGACAGCAAGTGCCAGGAGCAATGGGGAGAGCCATAGTGGCACAGGTCAGAGATGAAGGCAGGGGTCCTACCATGCAGGGCCTTGTGTGCCATCGCAGGGACTTGGATCTTATTCCAAGCAAAAAGGGAAAACCAGCTGGGTGAGGTGGCTCACACCTGTAATCCTAGCACTTTGGGAGGCCAAGAGGGTAAGATTGCCTGAGCCCAGAAGCTCGAGACTAGCTTGGGCAATACAGTGAGACCCAGTTTCCTACAGAAAATTAAAAACATTATCCGATTTGGTAGCATGAGCCTGTAATCCCAGCTACTCGGCAGGCTGAAGCAATAGGATCGCTTGAGCCCCAGAAGCAGAGGCTGCAGTGAGCTGAGGTCACACCACTGCACTCCAGCCTGGAGCACAGAGTAAGACCCTGTCTCACATAATAATAATAATAATTAAAAATAAAAATAGGCTGGGCATGGTGGCTCATGCCTGTAATCCCAGCACTGCAGGAGGCCAAGGTGGGCAGATCATGAGGTCAAGAGATCCAGACTATGGTGAAACCCTATCTCTAGTAAAAAATACAAAAATTAGCTGGGCATGGTGGCGCGAACCTGTGGTCTTAGCTACTCGGGAGGCTGAGGCAGGAGAATTACTTGAACCCGGGAGGCGGAGGTTGCAGTAAACTGAGATAGCACCACTGCACTCCAGCCTGGCGCCTGGCAACAGATCAAGACTGTCTCAAAAAAAAAAAAATAATAATAATAATAAGGGCCAGCATTGTGGCTTACACCTGTTATTCTAGTCCTTTGGGAGGCTTAGGTGAGCAGATAGGTTGAGCTTAGAAGTTCAAAACCAGCGTGGGCAACATGGCAAAAACTCCATCTCTACAAAAAAGACAAAAAATTATGGCTGGGCGTGGTGGCTCACGCCTGTAATCCCAGCACTTTGGGAGGCCAAAGTGGATGGATCACCTGAGGTTGGGAGTTTGAGACCAGCCTGACCAACACGGAGAAACCTTTCTCTACTAAAAATATGGAATTAGCCAGATGTGTTGGTGCATGCCTATAATCCTGGCTACTCAGGAGGCTGAGGCAGGAGAATCACTTGAACCCAGGAGGCAGAGGTTGCAGTGAGCCAAGATAGCACATTGCACTCCAGCCTGAGCAACAAGAGTGAAACTTCATCTCAAAAAAAAAGGCCTGGCGCAGTGGCTCACGCCTATAATTCCAGCACTTTGGGAGGCCGAGGCAGGTGGATCACGAGGTCAAGAGATCGAGACCATCCTGGTCAACATGGTGAAACCTCATCTCTACTAAAAATACAAAAAATTAGCTGGGCATGGTGCCTGTAATCCCAGCTACTCAGGAGGCTGAGGCAGGAGAATTGCTTGAACCCAGGAGGCGGAGGTTGCGGTGACCCGAGGTTGCACCATTGCACTCCAGCCTGGGTAACAAGAGCGAAACTCCATCTCAAAAAAAAAAAAAAAAAAATTGTGATGGTCCACTCTTGTAGTCTCAGCTACTTTGTGGGCTGAAGGATCACTTGAGTCACAAAGGTCAAGGCTGCAGTAAACTGTGTTCACACCTCTGTACACCAGCCTAGGTGACAAAGTGAGATTCTGTCTAAAAAATAAATAAATAATAAAAAATAAAAATAAATAAGATAAATAAAGAGAGAAAACTTCTGAGGGTTTACACAAGAAAGTGTGTGGGTCTTCTTGGCCCTGCGCCTGTTCCTGGTTAGAATGTTCTGCTTCTTGGCTGGGCGAGGTGGCTCATGCCTGTAATCCCAGCACTTTGGGAGGCCAAGGGGTTTACGGTTAGATCACCTGAGATCAGGAGTTCAAGACCAGCCTGGCCAACATCGTGAAACCCCCATCTCTAGTAAAAATACAAAAATCAGTCTGGCATGGTGGTGGGCGCCTGTAATCCCAGCTACTTAGGAGGCTGAGGCAGAATTATTTGAACCTGGGAGGTGGAGGTTGCAGTGAGCTGAGATTGTGCCATTGCACTCCAGCTTGGGTGACAAGAGCAAGACTCTATCTCACAAAAAAGAAAAAAAACAAAACAAAAGGATGTTCTGCCTCTTGTATGATTGTACAGCCACTTTGGAAATCAATTTGGTGCTATCTGATAAAATTGAAGCTGTATATACAGTTTGACTTAGTTCTATATCCTGGAAAAACTTGTGCATCTGTCTATTGGGAAACATGTACAAGAATGTTCATGGCTACATTGTTTATAACAGCCCAAACTGAAAACAACTAAAACATTCACCAACCGTTGAATGAAAAAAAAAAATTCTGGTATATTCATGCAATGAATACTATGCAGTAATAGGCAGACAGTTATGTGCAATAACTTGGATATATCTCACAAGTTGAACAAAGTAAGTAGGAAGCAAAAAGTAACAGAATATCATTCCCTTTACAGAAACTTCAAAAACAGGCAAAGTTGAACTGTGTTATTTATGAATGCATACACAGGTGCTAAAACTATAAAGAAAAACAAGTTTCCATGTTTACGATCTTTACAAATGTCAGGATGATGGTTTCTTCTTAGAGGTCTGAGGGAATTTTGAAAGGGATGCATGGGGAACTTCTGAAGTATAGAAAATACTCCTTTTTTTTTTTTTCCTGGATGGCAATGAAATAAGTATTGGCTTTATTCCATTTGTCCTGTATACTGTTTATAATATATTTATATACTCTGTGCAGAAGGAGGAAATAAAAGTACTGCTTCTTTCTCAGCTCCCTGCCACCTTGTTCAGGTCATTAAGCTGACATTAGACACTTCCTAGTCCATGTGCTCGTATTTCCCACCAGACCTTGAGGACAGTGATCTCTTTATTTCTGGTACCTATCAGAACCTGCATATAAGAGATGCTCGGCTGGGCACAGTGGCTCACACCTGTAATCCCAGAACTCTGGGAAGCCGAGGCAGGTGGATCACGAGGTCAGGAGTTCAAGACCAGCCTACAAGATGGTGAAACCCCGTCTCTACTGAAAATAAAAAAAAAAAAAAAAAAAAAAAAAATTAGCCAGGCGTGGTGATGGGCGCCTGTAATCCCAGCTACTCGGGAGGCTGAGGCAGAGAATTGCTTGAACCTGGGAACTGGAGGTTGCAGTGAGCCCACATTGCACCATTGCACTCTAGCCTGGATAGCAGAGCAAGACTCCATCTCAAAAATAAATAAATAAATAACAGATACTCAATAAATGTTTGCTGAATTGGATTGA